ACTTCTATCAATTCCATGTCTCATTAAATGAGATTCCAACTGAACTATGTCAATCCAACGCCCATAACAACAACCTAAGCAAGGACATGTGATCCTACTGGGGTCTTTGGCGTGTTCAACAACAAACTTAACGAATTTTGATACCTCATTCTCGTACTCTTTTGACAATCGATTAGAAGACATCCATTTTTTATCAATACTAATTAAGTAGGCTAAACTAAGAAAGCTAAACAAAAACAGCGAATACCTGTAGCACCTGTAGAGAAATCACCAACTTCTAGAACTACACAGTAGAATTCTTGGAAACGATCAAAATCTTGCTCTACACAGGTAACCCCTATAACAGACAAAATTAATAACATCATCAACATTAAATAATTCTTGGAAACGATCAAAATTAACAAACATAAATAATTCATTTACTTTCATCAACAACAATAACATCAACAACAATAATTCATTTACTTTAATTCAAGTTTCCATCAACAACAATAACATTAACATATATACGAAATTAATTCATTTGTTTCCATCAACAATATTAACAAAAATATCATTAGAATTAACACTAACAACAACAACATTAACATTATTTTTTTCCATCAACAACAACACTTACAACAACAACATTCCATTTTCATAACTAATACTTCACTAACCTCTAATTCAATTTAATCGCATCCTAACAACTAACTTTACTAAAATTTGTAACTTTGTTAACTCTTTAACAAATTTCTACATGGCATGGCATTGGACATATTCAACATCGAATCAAAGCAAAAAATTATATGCTCAACTTGCATCAAAATAAAAGCAGCAAATACAGGATGTCCAAAGTTGTATCAAAATAGTGGAAACAATATCAAACCTAAACAAAATTTTAATCTTGTATCAAAATCGAAACAAACTACTCAACACTCATATTAGTCAAAACCGAAACAAAATGTAACAATGTAGTGTGAATGAAAGTCGAAGTCTGATATAGAAATAAAATGTAATAAGAAACTGAGATGAAATATGTAGAACAACTTTACAACTGCTATATAGAAATAAAATGTAATAAGAAACTGTAAAAATGTTAACAACCGTTTTTCACCATTGATGTGCATAGAAAGCTAACAGTATGAAACAAATAACAACAGTGCGAGATTGGTTCAAAGCAAACATGTAGGTTTTATACATAATGGGTGGAAGACGAAGACAGACCGTCAAAACGGACGGACGGAGGCGAAAATGGAAGACGGCGACGGAAGAAATGGAAGACGGCGACGGACGGAGGCGGTCGGCTGGAAGCAATGGACGTAGGTATTCGCTAGGTTGTTTATGGGTTGTGAGCGTAAGAACTCCGAAAACCACGTCTGTTTCTTTTTATGAATTTTCTAGGTTTTTAAATTTATGCCACTTAATCCTACGGTAGCGCTTTTGCATGGCCTTTAGCAGCACTTTATAAAAGCGCTCTCTAAGGTCTGCTAAGGCAGGACCTATAGCAGCGCTTTTATAAAAGTGTTGTCTTATGTACCACCTATAGCAGCGCTTTTCTAAAAGCGCTTTCTTAGAATGACCCCTTTAGCAGTGCTTTCTGAAAGCGCTCTCGTTGGTGACCCTATAGTAGCGCTTTCTAAAAGCGCTTCCGTAGGGCCTAAAATTCGGCTTTCTAAATTTGGAGTTTTGTGTGATACTGGCTAAAATTTGGTGATGCACAAGGGGGGCCATACGGGCTGCAGACAAAGGAGGTCATTTGTTTTGTTTGATAGTGTACATTTTCTTGTCATGTTTTAGCAGCTTGTGTAGCAGGAAACAGAAGTTTGTTTCTATTGTGGATATTGGTCTTTGGAGTAAAGGGTTTGTAGCAGGGGTTACAGATGTTTTGGATGGTGAACTTTCACAAATTTGGGATGGTTTTGGTGAAAGGTTTTAAAAAAAGAAAAATCTAAATTTAATTAAAATAACTTAAGAAAAGAAAAACAAATTAATTAAAAGGGCTAAATTAATTAATAGAAGTAAATGAATTTAAACTAAAATGTAATTTAAACTAAATGAATAAATAATAAAAGTAAAAATGACTAAATAAAGAAAATTCTAATTCAAAGTTATAAATTCAAAAATTAATTACATAAATAGCAACAATTAAATTAAATTAAATTTGATTAAAGACCAACATAACCTAATTACCTAATATCAACTTAAAATAACTAATTAAAAGATTAATAAATAAGTGATAGCAATTAAAAAAAGAATAACATAAATACTTAATTAATTAAACTAAATTAAATTAATCCTAGATCATTTAACTAAGAAATAAATAAATAAAGATATAAAATAAAATAAAATCTTAATCATCTAAATAAACTAATTGAATTACCAAAATTTAACTAAGAAATAAGTAAATAAATAAAATAAATAAAAATGAAATAAAGTACACAAATTGAAATTAAATTTAAACTAATAAAAACTATTTAACAATAAATCACAAATGAAACGAATAAATACATAAAAAAAAAATAAAAGGTCAAATACCAAGATATTCAAAAATGTAAAACGAATGCACCAAAATTATCAGCGCGAAATGAACCACTCGGAAAAATACAGCGTTTCGTCCGATTTTGAAATAAATCTTATTCATTGAAACGATTAAACCTGTCCACAATGCAACCAATTCAGCTGTAATTCCAATAAGTCTATTCTGCCTGATAACCTGGGCAATATACAAGAAATGATTGACCTAAATGATATACGAAAGATCAAAGAATCTTTGGATAAAATTTGGGGTATGACAACATGTGACTCCATACAAAAAATAGGGGTTGAATTTTAGAAGTTTGAAAATCGTTGACTAAAATCAAAATCGTTTTAAGTATTGGAGTTTGCAAACATTTTAACAAAAATGTTTGAATAGGAAACAAAAATATGAGGTAAATAAATTAAGCAAAAATTACAAGAGTTAATAGAAAAAAGATAACATAAAATTTTTATATATGTTAGGTATTAAGTAAGTGACCTACTCTTCTCCTAAAGAATTGATTTTGAAAGTATCCATTAATGCATGATAGCTTTTAGAAGGCTAAGTCCATGAACCCCTTTATACAAGGAAATGAAGTTTCAGTCTAACTTCGAACCAAACAATGTACATAATTTGAAATGGTTAGTCACCAAACAACAAACAATTTTGAAGGGTTTATTCTTCTCGCCAAACAGCAAACATGCTTGATATGGTTAGTCTTCTCACCAAATATATATTTTGAACAGGATGATCTCGAACCAATGTGGAGTTTTAAATTGGATCTTCACATAGCTGAATTGAGGTTTTACACGGGTTGACCACAAATCGAACAAAAAATTTTACTGTGATGTTCTCGAACGTATTTTGCTTTTACACATGTTGAACTCTATAATCAAGTGAGATTCTATACCAAGCTGGTCTCAAATCGATAGAACTTTTAATTGGGTTGAGCTCAAGAACCGCTGTGAAGATTTTTCTCTTAGTTATTCTTCACAAACCCAAAAGAAGAGTTTTTCTTTAATGACGGAACTCACGAACCAATATGAGACTTATTCTAATCACGAAAACCAAACAAAGATCATTTGAAATGGTTTAGCTCTAAACTAAAAAGATAAATTCCTAAGGATTAATTATTTACTCAAGATAAAATTACTCTTGGTAAATTTACAATTTAAACCTTCACCCATAACAAATATCTCACTAAACTCAAGAACGCTCACAATTCACTACGACTAAAATATGTGAGAAAAAGATTGAAATGATTTAGAGAAATTAAGAGTGATGATAAGTGAGATGTTTCTCATTTTCTGGATGATTTGAAATGGTGGAGAGGCTCTCTATTTATAGGCTAAGAGATGGTGTTAAAATGAAAACAACTCATGGGTCTTTTAATTGTCCTAATCGATTAGGTCCTAAGTCTAATCAATTAAGTAATTCAAATAATTAATTATTATGGCTCAACATTGAAGATTTTGATACAGAGTCATTACTAATCATTAAGAGACTGTCATAATCTATTATGAACTTAATTCTCACTCATATAAATGATAAGGTATTTGCTCTAATCAATTAGACAGTTAAAAAACCTATGCTAGTTAATTTGAATGTTTCCAATTCAACCGAAAATGCTCTTAAAACATTTTTGATGATTTTAGTTAAAATGAAAAGGCTCCAAAATAATTTTTAGTGTGTGTGTGTGTGCGCTTATGCATGTGTGTGTGTGCGCACGTGTGTGTGCATGTGTGTTTGTGTGTGTGTACGTATGTGTGTGTGTGCGTGTGCATGTGTGTGCATGTGCGTGTGCGTGTGTGCGTGTATGGGTATGTGTGTGTGTGTGTGCATGTGTGCTTTTGTATCACTACAAGAAAAACGATGGATTGCGACGGTTATTTTGGCAGGTTACGACGGTTGTAGTACCGTCGCAGAAACGTGTGTCCCCAGGTTGTTTAGCGACGGTTGAAAAAACCGTCACACACAACCGTCGTTATATTTCACGACGGGCTTGAACTGACCTAAACTGGAGATAGCGACGGTAAAAGACCGTAGTTACTAGCCTTTTGATTTTTATTTTCATTGTTGATTGTGACGGTTTAAAACTGTCGTGAACTCTATTTAAAGACTGGTTGGAACTGACATAAATTGGAAATGACAACAGTTAAATATTGTCGTGAATATCCTTTTGATTTTTGTTACCATTGTTGATTGCGACGGTTTAAAATTGTCGTGAATGTGATATCTTGACGGTTCATTATTAATTTTTATATATTGTATTATATTTTTTTATAATATATTCTTTTATTTAAATTATTATCTACTAAAATAGTTATATTATTTTTTCTTTAAATTATTTATACAATAATATTTTTATTTATATTTTTTTTTATTTTTTCTATCGCTTTTTAGCGTAGTAAAATTAATTCCAAAACTTAATATCAAATAAACATTATAATATCGAAAAAAACGTGAGTTTCATAATCATGTAAAAATGAAAGTTTCATAATCATGTCAACACCCAGCTAAAACCATCAGAAGTTGCAATTGCTAACCAATAGTCACCAGCTAAAAATGACAACACCCAACCAGCTGACATTACTACTACAAGTGCTATTCCCCACCATCTGAATGCTTCTGTGAAATATTGTTTGTATACTTTAAGGCTCACATGTCCAGTTTCTCTTCCCTCGTCTTCAATGAGCTTTGCTGCAGTTTTATCATCAAACTTAGATTGATCTTGAGAGGACTGCTTTTCAACCCCGCTTTTTTTTTCTTTCGATACAATGCAGGCGAGTTTTAGAGACTGAGAAGAATCATCATTGGAATTATCACTTGTTTCTAATATCTCCATAGAGGATTCATGAGCTGCCACAAGTGCACCAAAATCTAGGCCTGCTTTGAGAAGTTCATCATACTTTCCACTTTGCACTACTCTTCCTTCACGCATCATCTTTAAAGTTGATGTCAAAATATAAGCTAAAATATAATATCTAATACTATTGGTAAGATTAAGATAAGTCGGGACAAATTGAATTTAACTTCCATTTACAGAAAAACTCAATAATTTAGGGACTTGTGAGCATATACATACCATGATAGAGTCAACATTATGCAAGAAATCAACTTGATGAGTTACAAGTAAAACAGTCTTATCTTTGAGAGTTCCCATGATACATTCCTGCAAAAAGATGGAGAATTAATTGTGATTTGTATCAGAAATTTAAAATGACAATTCATTTATTATGGAAACCAGTATCATCTTGATTGATACTATAATGTATTGTTTATAATCTGAAAAACCAGAATAATGTAATAATCAAAATAGCAGAACAATGTAATATTTCCAAACAACATTGAAGCAGGATAATCTAAAAAAGGAAAATCTCACCAACAACGTTTTGACTCGTCTTGAATCGCAGAATATTACCAAACATTTTTTCGTTAATTGTGAAAACAATTCTAATGGACATGGAAGATTCGGAACCGAAACAGGAGCAGTCCAACTTCCTACACAACAAACAACCATTATAGTAGGACCTTTAGAAGAATTTAACTTGAATACTTGCTTTGAGGATTAGGAGATAATCGCGTAAGGACAGGTTCAGGCTCTCTTCCAAAACCTGCGGCAGGGGAAAGATTTTCGGTCTTAACTTTTCGAACTAAGTCAAAGAAGAACAGATAATACGAAAGCGATTACAACATTGCATACCTGTCAAAGACACCCAATTTTCACCGTGAATGATGGCAGAAAGTAGATGCTGAGGGTCGGCACGCTTCCTTTTGACGGCACTTCAAAGCAGCAACCCCGTCGTCTTCGCACACCATCGCAGGAGTATCAGCATCCGGTTTTGTTTCCAAAAGCATGCCGCATCTCTAGCACACCTAACTGTTATCAAACCAATGAATTTGAGCTGAACAAAACCTACAAATAGCAGTCATTAGCACACGATGGAAGTTCAGTACAGGCAACACATTTTTGCAACAAAATGTATTATATTATAATTGTTTTAATCTCAACAGCATTTGATTCCATGTTGCAAAAATTAGTCTAATCATGAAGCTTTTGTCTATATTATATCACCATTAATGACCAAAGACTTAATTTTCAAAGCAATTATTTGAACACAGCATTAACAAATATTTACCTATATACCAAAGAATCAAATGTCAATTTTTCTAAAGTCTCAAATTTATCAACAGAGAATAATAAAAACACTATCTGCAAATATTCTTATTCATAGCATAACTCAACATGATTAGCCAAATAATTAGCCAAAATATATCATATAATCTACCTGAGTGCAGTCAAACTTTCCATCTGGTTTTGCTCCAAAACTCATCACATTAACAACTTTCTCACCATGAGCAAGAGAATCTTTGGCCACATTTTTACCTCTGTAGATATCAGGACCTGCAACACGTCTTACTCTTGGACCAACATCCACATAATTACTAACTATTGCAAACCATAAAATTAAAACACAAACTTTTTTTGCAGTGACCATTGAATCTCAACTCCAAAACGTGTAATCTGTCGTGACGTGTTACAAATCAATCATGATATGAATCCAAAGCCACCATTTATCATTCAAACATAATAGGAATTCGAATTAAATAACAACTTAAAAATAACAGTCTGCAACTGTCTTTCAAAAACCATATAGCAGTTCAGCATAAATCCACATATATAATCCAAACTTCAGAACGAAACAACCCAAAATTACACCCTATACGGTCTAGAAAATCAACGAAAAATCTTATACAACTTAACATTACCAGCAGTTCATAAATCAACTTCAAAATGAATCGAGATGAAACCAACGGATTACCGATGTTGCTGAAACACATTTATTGAATGGCCGAATCAATGCGATGTGGATGCTGAACAATGAGTTTTTCATGGTTTGCTCGCTTGGATCATTTAGAGCAAAGAGTGTGGATAGAAGAAACAGAAGCTAATGTTTTATGGAAAGGAAAAACATCATATAACAGGTACTCACATGATGCATGTATGGATCTCTATTCAAATTAATTCGAATATATTACAAGTTCATTCTACTTATTTGTTCCCATTTGCAGGGTCTCATGCATCTATAATGATGAATTTCTACAACTTGCCACTCTAAACTTTGAGTTTAAGCAATTTCTATACAAAAATGAACTTAATGAACTTAATGAACATAATAGGTATACTAAAATTTCCCATAATTAGTTTGATCCGAATCTTATTCATACGAATCTTAGTGGATGATTACATTTGATTTCAATATGTAGGTGGGTTAAAAAGTGTGGTCTGATTAATATGGGATTCGGCAGAGAAAAAAGCACTTGTTGTTACTTTGTTGTTGTTGCAAGTTTAACATCCCTCCCTCACGACTTTTACGTTCGAATGCTTATAGCTAAAACTGCAATTATAATCACAGTTACAGATGATTTCTTTGATACTGTTGGTTCTCTCAATGAACTAGAAATCCTTACCGAAGCAGTTCAAAGGTACATAATCAAAATTTGTTTCTAATAATTGTTTTAGATTTCGTATATAATAATGATATATGTATTTTTGTAAATAATAGATGGGATAGTAGAAGCCTAAGTAGCCACAGCAAAGTTATATTTGATGCACTTGATGATCTTGTGAGTGAAGCTTCTAAAAAATATCTCCAACAAGAAGGAACATGTGATGATATCTTAGGAGACTTCACACTGTTGATGCAATTGCAGAATTCTTCACCATCCAATGGTTGAAATCTCATGAGAAGGAAGATATTTTCATAGAGTTGCCAACTGATACTGAACCTGAAGTTACAGTGATGTTACACACCTATAAATATATTTTTCAAGCTCCATCATCTCTACCCACTATCAGAGCACAAAATCACACTATACCATTATTGTAAGGCTAAAATCCTGTTAAGGTTAAACCTTACAAGTACCCTCATAGTCAGAAAAATCAGATTGAGAACATGGTTCAGGAAATGCTGCAACAAGGGATCATTCAACCCAGCACTAGTCCATTCTCATCACCAATTATTTTAGTGAAAAAGAAAGATGAAACTTGGAGGTTCTGCACTAATTATAGAGCTTTTAATGCTCTAACAATCAAAGATTGTTTTCTGATTCCAACAGTGGATGAGCTTGTAGGATGAACTATTTGGAGCGAAGTATTTTTCCAAATTGGATCTCAGATCAGGCTACCATCAGATATTGGTTCAGCCAGAACACAGGTACAAAACATCTTTTAGAACACATCATGGCCACTATGAGTGGTTGGTCATGCCATTTGGATTGACAAATGGTCCTGCAACATTCCAGAGTTTAATGAATCACATCTTCCAACATGCCTTAAGAAAATGTCTTGGTGTTTTTTGATGATATATTGGTTTATAGCACCAATTGGATGGAACATTTAAGACATCTAGCGACAGCTCTCAAAGTATTACAAGATAATACCTTATTTGTCAAGCTATCCAAGTGCTCATTTTGATTTAGAGAAATCGAGTACTTGGGTCACATTATGAATGGAGAAGGTGTTTCTATGGATAAAGACAAGGTCACAACTTTCTTAAAATGGCCAGTTTCTCAAAATATAAAGTGGAGAGCAAATCTTGTTGCTTGGGCGAATGATGCAGGAGTGAAGGTGTATGATACCGCCAATAACCGGTGAATAACATTTATCGAAGCTAAGATTGATACTGCAAATTCCCAAAAGCCCAACTTCCAACACCTACATTATTTTTGGTGAAGCTAAGATTGAGGACTTGAGTTCATAGCTACCAACTCAGGCATCTAAACAATTCAAAGCTCCTAATTTGAGAAATGTTGGAGCGAAGCCAGAATCCTCTGGTATTTCTTCGGAAGAGGAAGATGTAGACGAGACTGATGATGATCCCAAGGATATCGAGTTGGTGGTGACTCAAGCTAGTGTGCCAAGATCAAGAGCTGTTAAAGCTCTCAAAGTTGCCAATAGAGACATTGTTGCTGCCATTATGGAGCTTACTACTTAATGCTTAGAATTGGCAGTGTTTTGTTTTGTGGAGCTTACTACTTAATGCTCCAGGATGAAAAATATACAGGGAGTTTGGGGTAACCAAGGAAGGCGTTATTTCAACACTGATGTAGTTGAATTCAGTGATTCTCACTTTACCATTTTTCTATCTCAACACTAATTTGGCTACTATGAACAATTATATCTTTCTCAAAAAAATTCTATAGAAGATCTAGTCTAAAATAACACAACTCGATATTTCGATTTAAATCGCAAGTATATTATGAAGCCTGTTTTGAATTATAAATAATGTATCAAAAATATAGTTTAAACTCCTAAACAAGCAAAGGACTCAATCAAACAACAAGCACAATAGAGAAAGCAACCGCCGCAGCTAGACATGATCACCGAAAACAAAATCGAGCCTGACATAAACTCGGGACAAAACCATTGAATTAAAAGCACACAAGATTTCAAATAAAGGTCTTATACCAGAATTTGCTACCGCAACCTTTCAGCATCAAGAAACTCGATTCGACATGTCCACACAGATAAATAATCCATTTTTCTTACACAAATTTAACTTTCAAACAGAGAAATCTAACACATAATGCTTAAAATCCAAACCAATTAAATACAAAATTCAGAGTAAAATCCAAACCAGGATCCAATTCAGGGTTTGAGAAGACAAACCTGTAAAGATTCGAATTGATGGTGGTTGCTTTGATGGTGATTCGGTGATTCGCAATGACAGTGTTAGGTTGAGAAAAATGTTAGTTTCCCTCTTTCTCCAAGGACGTGAGCAGCAAATTCTTAAAAAGAAGTGAAAAATACGTGGAAAGAATTCTCAGTTTTTGCGGGAAGATGAAATTTTGGAGCACGGCGATTGGATATCACCGTCACAGATGAAATTTTGACAATTTTGAACGATAACGACTGTAGCTTCCAGTCATAATACAGTTTTATTTTAATAAATTTTTTTATTTCTATATTTTGATTGAATTATTTTGTTTATTTGATATTTTATAATATTATGATTATGAGTACATATAGTTTAATTTTATATTTATTTTTTATTATAAAAATTGTTTCTAAAATTTTGATATATAGTTTAATTTTAATACTTTAATTTTGGATATAATATTTTGAATTTAATTTTTACTATAAAAATTGTGTTTTATTTTGAGTATATATAATATTTTCATTTTTATGTATTTTAAGTTTAATTTATTACTATAATTATATTTTATAAATGATTTTAGTCATTTATTTATTTAAAATACATAGACTTATTTAGATTCGCCATTGGTTATAGTTTGTGTTACTGAGTTTAAGGGGCGACAGTTGTTCTACCGTCGGAACATAAAATTTAGGGCGGCACTTGAGACAGTCATGAACTTATTTGTAGGACGGCTTAATGATAACAGTCGTAATATTTAATAATCTTTTAAAAATATAAGGACGATAGGTGCATACTGTCGTGAAACGCGCCTCTATATTAGAGTTACGACAGTTATCAAGTAACTGTCGCAATTTTTGTGTCGTAAAACTCTAATTTTCTTGTAGTTAGTTTGTGTGTGTGTGTGTGTGTGTGTGTGTGTGTGTGTGTGTGTGTGTGTGTGTGTGTGTGTGTGTGTGTGTGTGTGTGTGTGTGTGTGTGTGTGTGTGTGTGTGTGTGTGTGTGTGATTTAGTCATACTATACAAAATGTCCTTATATATTTATAATACACTGATCCCTCAGATAGACACGATTAGACGAGCTTTCATACTTTCTCTCTCTCACACTTTGAAGCTTCAAGTTCCTTGCAGAATATACCACTCATATAAGCACTTCACTTGAATATTCTATGGGATGAGGCTTGAGATATCTTCAAGTTAGTCACTATTATCAGAGAGTGGTAAGGTATCACCGGTAATCATAGATATAGATTCAGAAGCAGGGCTTGATCTTGGTTAACCACCTTGTGCAGTTTTGACCACATGAGCTAACTTTAGTAACTTGTTGACTTCATTCATTGTTGTCATCCAAACCACTTTAGTGTTTTTATCATCAAAACCATCAAAGCTAAGCAGTTCCTTCTTGGATTTCTTTTTTGTTATACCTACAAGCACATGGTTCCACATGTGCTACACTTACTTTATATTAATGTTGGTTCTTAATCCCCCAACATTTTGTCTCGTACAACATCGCATGTCTTACGATTATCTGCTAAAATTTTCCATTCAGATTGAAAGGTTCTTTTGTGTCACATAAATCCCTTGCGGCCTCCTCCATTTCACCCACCTAGCTAGAGTTTAATGGTTTACATATTCTTCTATTTCTCCATCATTTTGTATTACAAACCCAAGATATTTAAACTGTGTGACTTTTAGGGATGATAAGGTGTCTAACTTTCACACCTATGTTAGAAATTCTTCTCCTTTTGCTGAAGCTACATTTCATACACTTCATCTTACTTCTTCTTAGACAAAACCATGTGTTTCTAAGGATTGTCTCTAAACTCTCAATCAAATCCTCCTTCGGATTTCGAATAGGACTATACCATCTTTAAAAATCATGCATTTTGATACTATCACTTTGATGTGTTTTGTGAGTAACAGGGAAATTGTTTGTCTCTCCACCGTGTGTCTGTGCACTATTCAACCCCTTCATACATATCATGGATAGCTCAAATATAGGTCATTCTAAAATATTTATTCTTTAGAGTTTTCCATAAAATATCTCTATGCATTATATCACACTTCTTGTCTAAGTTAATGAAAATTAAGTGCAACTTGGTCCACGTGACACTGCTTCATCACACTTTATAGTAGATCGATCACTTTCGTGGACGACCTCCCAAGCATAAAATTGAATTAATTCTTAGTAACTCAAGTATCTTTTCTCAGTCTCCATTCGTTTATTATTTTACATAAATTCATGGTATAATTCATAAGTTTAATCCTCTTATAATTAAGACAAAATTGTATATCCCCCTATTCTAATAGATTAAAGTGTTTCTTCTCCATTCATTCAACATTTTCTTTGACCTCATAATTTTGTTAAAGAGTTTGGTTAGCCAATGAATGCCTCTATCTCCAAGTATTTTTCACACTTCAATAGATATGTTGTAAGGCCTAACCGCTTTATTGTTACTCATCATTTTCAACACTTTTTTTACTTCTTGTTTTTGAATCCAACTGTCATAATAATAATTTGTATCTTCTTCTTTAATGTCAAGCATGTTAGAGTGTGATAAGATATCATATCATATATTAAATAAATTTGTAGAAATACATATTCTACCTATACTTTATAAAATTATGTTCTCAATAGCACAAATGTTGGACCAGATGTCTGGGACAACGTGTACAACTAGTTTATGACAGATAACAGGTTTTGGGGACAAATGTATGGGACATTGTATACCAGAAAGTAAAAACAAATAACACAACCAAATCATAACATATTAACTTATTTAATATGATGAAGCATAAAATTAATAAAGTACACAAGAGATTGGCAACCCAGTTCGGCGAAACCACACCTACGTTGAGGGGGGGGGGGCACCCTACCCAAGAAACGAAATTCACTACTTTGAATAAAACCCCGTGATGTTCAATTCCTCTTCCTAATCCTAGTGAATTTTCATTTAGGACTCTCCCTAAATATGAGAATCCCTCTCACTTTCTCTCAATAACTAACCTCTAGTGATCAACTTCAATAAAAACTCTATTGATTGTTGAATTTACAGCTCAACTAAGACAAGCAAATAACTA